CAAAAGTACAAAGTCTCGTAAAACATGATGCAAGTGTCGATGCAAGTTCATTGCAGCGGGCCACCCGGTATATCCGTGCATGAAAGAGTCATCTGGCTGCATCGCTACGGCGCGTAAAGAAACGTACGCGCTCAAGTCGCGTCGCATACGTTCGGCAACGTTCGGCCGCGATTCACTAACGTCAGTCGCAACTACGGCGACGGCCGACCAATGGGCACATTGTAGGATGACTCATCCACGGCTAGGGCCTCATGTAAACTCTCTCGTGCCGTTCAGCCCGCAGTCTCCCGCCAACCGTGGCATGATTTGTGTCTCGCATTGACAGGGTCAAGAAGTGCCAAAAATTCGCTCGCGAATATCGAGTTATTGGCTGGCGTATCCCCCATATATATATATATATATATATATATATATATATATATATATATATATATATATATAACGTTAAATTTTTTTTGTTCTCGAATTTTGTGTCAAATGGTGAGGTGAAACATTGAGAGATCACAGAGAGATCTGTATCTGGGATTAATTTTAAACATGAGAATCAGAAAGGACGCACCTTGTCTCGTGCTCCGATTGGCACCGTTCGAGAATCTCGAGTCATGGGGTAAGCTTGATGGAGATCTATCTCGCAATTCTTCTCGTTGTTTTATTTTTTGACAAATTTTTTTCTCTATTTTTGCACATGCTTTTCATACGCGCTTTTCACACGTGACATTACCGCATCAATTGATCGAAATCCCACGGATAGGCAGAAACAAAAACATAAAAACAAAATGAATCAGTGCTGAATAATTCGTAGAATTATTGATTTCCTTGATTGATTTCTTTTCGATGTTTCATACTATTGTTGTGTTGCATTTTTATTAGCTTGTCCACTTGTTGCTTGTTATTAACTGATTACTATTTTGGTTTCGTATTTCTGAATCATCATTTCGATGACGTCATGACTGACCTAGAGAAATATAGATGTTATTTTCTCTCGGTCTTTTCTTTCTCTCATGTACTCTTTTTATAATGCAAAAAATGTGTCAGTCAAGAGCTGGCAGATATATCTATAAAAGAAAAAGGTATAATACACATCTTAAAAAAGAATAAATTATGCTAATGAGATATTTCTAGCGCGCTACATACATATAATGTTTGTGTATGTATTTATAGAGCAAAAGCTTGCAAGTTTAATTAAATTTTAAAGCTAAGCCAAACGTGATGAGCCGAAAATTTTAATATTTCTAGCTTAAAAATAAATAGATCTTTGGATTTTTAGATGTTATGTTTATAAGTTTTTAAAAATATAGAGGCTATTTTCTTTTCTTTTTTTTTAAAGTTGTATCTTACTCATATATTTTTCAAGTTGTGTTATCTTTAACGAATTAAAACGATTTTCCTTTAGGAAAATTTGATGACACATTTCATTTTATCAAAATATATATATTGTAACTTTTTAGATTAATATATATATATATATATATATATATATATATATATATATATAAATTGTGTATGTACATACATATAATTAACTTTTGCTGTAAATTTTAATATATTTAAAAAAATCACGAAGATGTAATTTACATTTTATTTTTAAATGTGCCTAGAAATAATTATATTTATAAAAAAAATAATTTTTAATATATAAGTATATTTATAAAAAAAATAATTTTTAATATATATAGTATAATAAATGGGAATAGAGTTTTTAATAAAATAAAAATTTTTAATATAAATTTTAATACTGTTTATTATCTTACTAAAAGGAAGCCGATCTTTCATATTTTTCATTTATAAAATACTTGTATTTGCCGTTTTATAAACACAATAATTTTTATTTTATTTATTTTTATTCGTACTATATGATTAGTATGATTGATACTATATGATACTATATGATATATGATTGTTACATATGTCATTAATTGATTTATTTTAATATTTTATTATATATTTCCTTTTATATAAAATTATGTTGATGGATTTTTTAAGATTAAATCGTATGCAGCTTTTTTAAACAATAATTTGATAAAAAAGATTAATTTCGTAAATTTCTTAATTTGAAAAAAATTATTTTTATAAATTTTAAATTTAGTAATCATTATTTTAATTAAATCAATTGTTATTTTTTTTTTAATATTAATAATATTTTCCTCTTGCGAATTATGTTTCTAGTTGTCTTGTTTTGTATAAGCACAAATCTATAACTTTTGTTTTCATACGAAACCACGATGCCTGGTATTTTTTCTTTTTCGATATGATATAGCACTAAATAGATATAGCACTAAAAATCGTTGATACATATATCGGAGCAAAGCTTGTATTTTATAATAGTTGTAAATATTCTCGAGATGCCGCTATTCAAATTCTTGTTTAAAGATATGACGTTTGAGTAACAGGATTTTCATCGAGTGCGACGACCGTTGCGAGATTTCCGAGTAATCGCACTACCTTCTCGATTACTATACCGACCTAAATCAAGTGACCCACATATACGGCTTTTCTATAACGACTCCCGCGACATCGCTTTGAATGTTTAATTCTTAGATCCGAGACGATTCAAGTATTTAAATCATCGATTTACAATAATATATCTTACATTAAATTTTTTATTTTTATTGCAACAATTACCAATATTTAATTTAATTTACAAACATATATAAATTAAATTTATTATTTATAAATATGTGTATTACTTTAAAATTAACATTAATTATCAATAGATAAGAATATATGTTTAAAAGACATTTAAAGAGATTTATAAAATAAAATCAAGATTTTACATCAACAGACAATAAGATGTATTTGTAGTATCATTGAAATATTATTATATAAAAAATTTTAATATATTATAAATCTTATTTATAAAATACAAGCTTTGCTCTAATATATTGATCTGTCATCATAATTTAAAGATTAAAAGAGAAAATTAGTTTTGTGAAATAATTAATTGTCATATTCTGTATATCAAAGAATTATAAACATATCTGTCAGTGATTGCAATCTATAGGAAATATAATCTGTATAAAGGACGTATCACACAATTACATTTATAATGTCAAGTTGTTTTTAAAAATTTGATTTATAAAATAGATGATCTATGAAATTGATTGATAATATATGATCTACGAAATATTTATAATATTTAGAAAATGGAAAGTGCAAAATATCAAGAATGCAATATTAATAATGTATTAATATAAAAATATAAAAAATATTATTAAAAATATAAAAAATAGATATTATAAAAAATAGATCCGTGGAAATTAGATCAATGAAAAAGCTATACAAAATTTATGAAAATGATATCTCACAGTCTCTTAGATTATGATTTCTAAGGCATTTTTTTCATTAAGAATGCTATTCATATAGTGTAACGCGATCTCAATTTAAAATCATGAAATCGGAAAGGAGCCAACATTGCAATAATGATTGGCGACGACAGTTTGGGGTTGGTGGCCGCTCCGCGAGAGCCAACTTGGCGAAGAGGGTACGGAGCGAGGAGGGATAACGAATGAGTCATCGTTGAGCCAGGCCAGGCCTTAGCAGCCGCAGGTCAGGAGAGGAAGACACTTTTAGCCCACATTTCTTCCTCTCCTTCTCTCTCCTTTTTGCGTTCTTGGCGTTCCTTTATTTTTATCCATCGTTTATTCTCAGTCTGTTTCTCTCTTTCTACTTACTTTTTCCACATCGTCGCGTTATCCCACCCCTTATCCGTATCTTCGTCACGAGCTAGAGATGACGGCACCACCCTCTTATTGTGTCCCGCATTCTACGACGCTTATAATTGATGTTTTTGAAGATCACTGAGAAAAAGAAGAGCACACGAGCCTAATTGGCTAATATATCTTTATATTAAGCAACAATTACAATTCGTAGATCTTTTTCTTCCACAATTTTCTAAATCAAAGATTCTTTATTCCAGAGATCTTTTTAAAAGTTTAAAGTTTAAATTTTCGTATTATTTATTGATATTTTTTCGAGATATCGAACTTGTCCGAGTTAAATTATTTGATCCGTGAATCTTGTGGTTCTTATATTTCAAAATTCATTATTATGTCTCTAGATTTCGAATGCTTGAATTTTTAGATTTCTATATTTTTGAAATTTTAAATCTCTAAAGTGCTTGAATCTCAGATTTAAGATCTTAATATCGACGAATCTTTAAATTATTAAAGTCTTTTTGCATTCGTTTTCGAGTTTTGAGATTTGTAATTGTTTAAATATAAGTGAAATAATCATCTTACAATGCGTATTGATATTCTAATAAATTAGTTAAATTAATTTACTTAATCAATCATTTGTCTCTTCTTATACGTAAAATAATTTAGAGTTATCTTATATATCTTTTTAAATATATAAATGAATAATTGAATTAAAACGTTAATAAATTAATAAATTGATAAAGAAACATTAATAAAACATTAATAATTGACACAAGATAATGTCAAACTGATGATGCAAAATAAGATTTATGAAAACATAATTTTTTTCTGAGATATGTATAAAACTACTTATATTTATGCATACTTAAAAGTTATAAACAGTGAGTCTTTTTAAATAGCAATCTATGAAAAATCTACAAATAGGAGGTGAAATTATCCCAGTTATTGAATTAATAAATTGGTTCTCGATATTTTTCACTTCTAACAAATATAAAATCGTGACTGATCGCTCAATATTTAGAGATACATCAAGCGCTATGTATATTTCATATGCATTTACGAAGACAAATATATCTTTATCCGCGATAATTTTTGCTCTGTAAATAATTTAACAACAAAATTATTTTTAAAGATAAGCTATTTCTTGTAATTATCAAAAATTATAATAATAAAATATTTTCTTCATATATCATGTATAAGAAAAATAAAAATATTAAGAAGTAAGAAAAATAAAAATATTAAGAAGTAAGAAAAATAAAAACATTAATCGAAAAAGAGAAATCATTCGTTAACTCGTTAAAAAATTAATCTATGGAACTAATCATGGACTATTATCTATTTCAGGTGGACATAGAGAGTTTCAAAGGCGGCATCGAGAACTATGCGAAGATACGCTTCTACCGAACGGAACTACCATCGATTCCTCGTCGACGACGACAGTGAGCGGCTGCACGAGTCCCGGACCAGGTTGTCCCGTGCTTAGCGTCTCCGGTCCACCCACCCCGCAGCCAGCCGACATCGACAGTCACCCGGCATCCCGCGTGTTGCCCTTCCTTTATCTCGGTAACGGTCGAGATGCCGCTGATCTGCAGCTGCTACGCGCCCTTGGAGCTACCCGGGTGCTGAACGTCACCTCGCAATTGCCCGGCTACCACGAGGAACGGGGTATCACATACAGGCAGATACCCGCCTCGGACTCTGGTCATCAGAATCTGAAACAATACTTTGAGGAGGCGTTTGATTTTATCGGTTAGTATAGCGATTTATTGTTAGTTATTGGACAAACTGTTTCCGTTTTCCTGAGGACTCGGAATTAGTTTCGAATACAAAACTATCGTCTTTTCGATAGATTTTTTTTATACTGACTGTATCTAAAATATTTTTTTTATTCGGAAAATAATTCTTTGTTCAAAATTCAAGATTCATGCAAAGAATGCAAGTTCGGGAAAATTGCCTCCTTCATTGTTGATTAAGCGTGATTTTCCACGGTTACGTCGGTGGTAGATTTCCTGCTGTTCTTCCGGCCGAGTTCATTCCGTTATTTCGCTACAAGTAGTAACGGGCCCGCAAACGGAAACAGGGTGTAACCAGGCGTTTCCGGTGGACCATTGAACCAGAGCGCCCGAGCGCCAGAAGACCAGAAGAACCTTTCATTCATGAAAGCATGAGTCATGCGCGCGCATCCGTGAAACGTAAGAGACATATTATGATCTCTCTCTTCACCCCTTGACCCTGCGCACTCCTTCCTTCTTTATCCTTGATGTCGATTTCTCCTCTCGCGCGTTTATGCGTGTGTGCATCTGTGATAAAACGAGTGGAGAGGGAAGGAGGAAGAACTTTATGCGTAGAAGGGAAGCAGTCGTGCGTGGCAGTTGTAAGGGCTGAGGGTTCGGAAAGGTAGGTACGAAAGAACAAGGGAGAAAGGAAGATGGGTCTCCCTCCGAGCGTGCAACTGGTGGAATGCCGATTGAATAAACGGAGACTCTGCACCCTTGTCATGGTACCCGATTTTGGCGAAGGTTTATTCCTGAGAAATTTTTTCCCTCATGTATTTTGATATATTTAATCTCGATTTCAGAATGCCTGAATCCTTCATGAGACACATAATTATCTTTTTGTTTTATATTTTATTTTATATTATATTTTATTCATAGCTTGCAGTTTTTTGTTACATATAATTGAATTACACTTCTGAATTATCTTAATACCATAATTATTTTTCATTTTATAGAATAATACTATAATTATTTTCTATTTTATGAGAATAAATTTACATATCTTTTAAGCATTTATTTTTCTGTAAAAACTTCTTTTATATTAATAGAATAGAATAAATGATATTGCCTTATAAATATTGTAAGCAAATAGCTGAAAGTTATTTTTTAATTCATATTAACGCCATAAGTTGTGCCAAATGTAACTGTATTAAATCAATTAGAGATATTCATGAATATTCGCATACTTTTCCCGCATTGTATGCACGAAAGATACGTGGAATATTTTTTATCATAATTGATTTAGGAATTTAGATTATTATTAAGAAAGAGAAAGGGCTAATGGAACTTTTAAACGCACGATTGGAAATTATCTTCAACGAAAAAAGTCGAACGATTTATCGCCCGCAGTCAAATTCTTTCGTAATGCGACGTCTGCATAGTCTGCATAGGATCCGGGCGATGCAGTGACTCACTGGTGATACGATAGCGTCCCCCATATATTGCATAATCGAGTCGACTGTTCGAGTTTCACGACTGTTTCGTTTCAGCGTTTATGAGCTCGACTCATTTCTATTTTTCATAAGCATTAAAGTTGGTTTCGCAAGTTTTAAAAAGTTTTTTTAATCTTAAGAGATTCCGAATAAATTAATAGCATATTTTTAATGCTGCGCATTAATGATCCATAAATTAAAATGCTTTTAATCGTAGAAATAAAATTGAAAGAAGAACGGGATATTCTTTCACATCACAATTATTGAAAAATCATTTTAATTGTAAATTTGTTCTGATACTGTCAAATAATTTCTTCTATTATCTTTATCCCGCGGAATTTCTAATGTCTTTTCGCAAAATTTCACTTGAGAAACATTGAGAGTGCGATAATCAACATAGTAAGAAATGCATTAATCATCGTGCAATTCGTCTTCGTGTTTCAGAGGAAGCGCGGAAAGCCGGAAGTAGCGTGTTGGTACATTGTCAAGCCGGCGTGTCACGCAGTGCGACGATTGCAATCGCCTACATAATGCGACACAAGGGCCTGTCGATGGTGGAGGCGTATAAGCTGGTGAAGAGCGCGCGTCCAATCATCAGTCCGAATCTGAACTTCATGGGTCAACTGTTGGAGCTCGAACAGGGTCTGCGGGCGTCCGGCAATGTCGTCAACTCTGCTCCGGAAGATCCCGTAATGACAACAACGGCGACGGCGACAACGACGACAACGACAAGTAGCTGTCATCAATGCAGGTGGAGTCACCAACCTAATAGTGAAGAGGTGGTCACCTCCGGTTGTAGCGTTTGAGACCGGGACCGTCTCTCGTATCTTCTTCTTTTGATTTTTTCGAGAGTACCGATCGAATCGTCAACGCCGACATTGCAAACGCGCGATAAACATATCCCGAGATATCAAGAGCGAATGTCGGCATTCTTCCTGTGCCTCTTCGTGACAAATCTGGATTAATAGTTCCCGGGATTGGATGGTCGATCATTTAAAGATACCGATTGCAGATATATAGAAAGAATTGTGCGACGATAAAGCCTTCGATCGTTTTTGAAATTATGAAATTTTTGGTTTTTCAATCTTCGCATTTTTCAACATTTGAATCATCATATTTTTTATCCAAGGCTTTTTGTTCAAAATATTCGCCCTTCGAATCTTTCTTAGAATTAAGATTCATAGATTCTCGGATTCCGTGCCTTCGAAATGACCATCCAATTAAAAGGTAAGCTGCCAACCTGACAGATTAATTTATTAAGGGACTCGAAGGAAATGTATGAAGAAGGTATGTTACATTCTTATGATAAATGATTTATTTCTATAAATTAGATGTACATTATTATTCTCCTCTTGTATTAAAATACCACATGCCGTAGCACATATTAAAATTAGTCTATACACTCCATATGCGACAATAAATCACTTTGATACCAATCGAGCAGCTTCAGCTGGATAAGCTTATTATGAATGTAACATATCTTCTCTTCATGTTTATCTAAAGAAAATTATAGGAGGGGTGGGGGATTTTTTATTTCGAAGAGGCGCAAAGTGACAAGGAGCGTATTCTGTATCAGAAAAACTTGAGCACGCTCTCTTTTAACTTCGATAACGAATAGCAGCGCGTCGCAATTATTTATTTTCAAATAATGTTCAATCGCGGTAAACATTACTTGTACTTACGATATACAGTGTTCCCTAATATGCCTGGTTGAGTCAATAGAGAGGCAAGTTAAACGTGCGGAGTGCTTGTTAGCGAACTTTTCGTTAAATAAGCGGTCAAGTGTTGTCGTCCGGCATTATTTATGCAAAAGCAAGCGAGGGAGGAAAAAACGATGTTGACGGAAACGATTGTTTAAATGACTAATTATAGGCAGCTTGCAATGTCGAGGAAAACTCGCGATTAAATGTTACAATTTTAAAGAAACTAAGGAATAATATTAAACATCAGGTACCACGATATTATATCAACAATTGAAATATCATTTAACGCTAAACATAATACATTTTGATGTATTAATATAAAAAATAGCAACATATAATGTAATGTATTTTTTGCTATACTACACGCTGGTTTTGCGGTAGTTTATTTAAACCAATTTAAAGATACAACATTAATTCATATAAAATTTAAGTTTATATCAATGTAGTTTATATCAACATTTATAAAAAGCAAATGAATCAAGATTAAATTCCATATTTAATTTTTTTGTCTAACATAACACGATATTAATTTACAGATAAAAATAGCACGTTTGCCTCTCAACTGACTTTCTTCATATCAGGCATGAACTTTTGCTAGAAAAATTATCCTCAGCACGAAAGAGATAGTCGTCTAATCAATATGTATAGGGTGTTAAAAGAAAAAAATGAGATTCTATTTTTTTAGACTAATAGAATTAATTTTGCAATGATGGAATATCATCTTAGATACTTTTTATTTTAATTACTATTTTCGATAAATTTTGCTGTTAAGTTAATGTGGAAATAATAAAAATAAAAACAATTTAATTACTCTTCAATATTAACTGGAATAGATAAATATTAAATGACAAATGACATGATTGCATTTTTTCAAAGGAATTTAATTTATAAATATATAATTGAGATAAAACCAACATTATTCTTATAATATTATAATTATTTTTAATTCATATATGGATAGATAAAGAACTAATTACTTTGTTATTTTCAAAATATTGTCTTTGGGATTAAATGTACTTAATAAATTATGAAATATATAAAAATAAAGAAAGAACTTTTTTTGAAAACATAATTCTATTATTATTACAATATTCATAAATATTTATTCACAACAATAGCAGTTTTGCAAATCGCAATACAATATTGCAAAAATATTGTAGAGAGATATGAAATTATAGAATCTTAATAAGATTGCAGAGCAACATTATGCGATATAATTGCAATATTTACAATTATTATATACAATTATTGAATGTTACAATTTTTTTTTATACTGAATAGGCTCTTGTATTTTTCAAAGACGTGATGATAAAAATTTTAAATAGAAAATGAAATCCAATAAATAAACAATTGATTAAAAAAAGAAATCATCCTACCCCTTAAAATCCCGAAATATTATTCAAAATATAAAGAGAGTTGCGATTTTATAAATAAACGAATACTTATATGAGCGATATAGTATATACATATTTTTTTCTGAAGACACCCTGTACATCAAGATTATGTAAAACGGAATGTTAATTAATGGCGAGTCTCTACAGAGTCTCCATGGAAGGAAAAAACTGTTCATTAAATAAAATAAAAACGATTGTTAATTATTTAAGTTGATACATCTATATAAATGAAAGAGTGATAGTGAGAGAAAAAGAACGAGCGCGAAAATGTTGAGAAAGAAAGTAAAGGTATAAATAAAGCTGATCGATTGAGACCATTAATCGAGAGCGGGAATTCGCTTGTTTTGCGTCTATATTTCGATTGTAACGCGCGGTTGATATTTCATAAAATATATATAATATATCGTTCACTGAAAATAGCCTAGTTCGTTAAGCTCCCTTAGCATTTAAGGATCTGGTTGAGATCCAACCATCGTGATCTAGTCGTTTGTTGGGATAATGATACGTACGATGTAAATGAAATGAGATACGAAGATGCTCTGTAATCTACGAAACAGTGTGTAATGGTTAGAAATTAAAACCATATTATTATTAGATAAGGTACAAAAGATGATGGGAGAAAAAAATTGGCGCGCTGAACTTTCCGACTTATCCCTAAAAAGAAATAGTGGATTCAAGGAAATAAATTTACTGTGCCATGTAATAGCACAATCTCGCGGTTCGATCAATGCAAAAGAAATCATAAAGCAAAGCCGCCTTATTAATATTTAATTATCGACAATAACTTTTCGTGGAGAAGCTATCGTGAATCGCGAGACAAGAGTTGCGAACGACGGGGAATAGAGGGAGAAAGAACCAAGTTCCTTATAGGATTTTGTCTACGGCGACGAATTCTCGATTAATTAAACAATTTTCAAAGAACGGTACATATCAGTGAAGCGTTGCCTTGCGATAAACGATGAGAGAACTGATAAATAGTCGTAGATGCGTACGATATAGACAATTAAACGATTTAAACAATTAGTTACCTTGCCAGCAATCGGGAGTGGAGAAGAAAAAATGGGAGTGGGTTGATAGAAATGTAGAGTACCTGTTACAGCACACAAAATGTGTACATATTTATCGAGACATTAGCAATAGCTAATACAATGACTTGCGATAAATAATAGTATTTTTCATTAATCAACTGATAATCAAAACGATCAAAATTAATCAGTCTACTTTTGAGATATTTTATTCCTTTTACGACTCATAGTGACTTGTAGTGGATGTAGGACTGAAGGATAAAAATCTTTCATTAAAAAAAAGATTTTTAATGAAAGAAAAGTAAATTCATCGCGATATATTTTTGTTTAACTTATTCCATTATTTAGAAAGCTTAAACAACGTAATTTTTTTTAGTAATGAATTTCTCATGTCAATCCAATTCCGGTTCTATATATGTAATTAATTAATTAATTTATATATATATATATATATATATATATATATATAATATAAATTAATATATATATTAATTTATATTATTTTATTAAAAATTAATTTTTTTCAATGCAATTGACACTTTTTTAATGATTGTTAATTGAAATTGTAGTTTTTCCTCATCTTTATTCGTACTCTTAAAAACTGCAATTTTAAAAAATTATCAGTTAATGTCAGTCCCAAAAATAGTCTTATGATTAGATAATAATATCGCGTGAGCAATTGATTATTTATTGCATGTCGTTGTATTTTTTTATTGTTAACGTGCGTGTGAAGGGTATCATTTGCCCTTTGGAGATGTCTGCTTTTTAGAGATATTTTTTTGCGAATTAATCAATATATTTTTTTTAACGCGACACAAAGTATTTTGACAAAATTTTATACAACTTTTTGAAAAATTACGCGTCGTAAAACTTTATGAATCAAATTTCTGCTGCTTCTCAGCGGAATAAGTTGCTATAAATCTTGGCAGAATCAAAGTACATTTGTGTGAAAAAATGAGAGCAAATGGATAAAAAAATTAAGGAGAAGAGAAAGAAAGAGAGAGAGAGACCCCAAATGTATGATCGGATCCCAACGATTTGTAATGTACAGCTATGTAGCGATTAGAAAATATTAGCGTAAAGATGTAACTATATTGCGTATGTGCGTGCAAGTATTGTATTATATTAAAAATTTATTTAGTTATTTTATGAATAAAAATGCAAACTCTTTGCCGGTTTACTTTGGGAGCTGTTTCAACCTCGTATTTTCGCGTATATCACATAGCCTTTATTCTATATCAAATTATTGTAAAATAGCTGTGAATATTTAACATTATGCTAATTTTGAAATATCCAAGTCATTATTCTCAAAAAACATTGCGCATCATTTCAGATTAATAATTAAAACGATATAGTATAATAGGACAATTAATATATAAAATAAGAATATATAAAGTGTAAAAAATCTTTCGTTTAATTTTTATATATATGACTATAAAACACGTTTATTTGTAACGAACAAGGAGAACGATGGGTAAAATATGATACAATTCACCAGATAGCTTGGCAAGAAATTTTTTTTCAAACAATTTTACATATTTTCGTTATATTGTTCCGCGTATTACATACATATTTGCCGCAGAAGTCTCCTAATTAAATGCATTAATTAATCACTACAGAATCATCTGTGTGTCTATATATATACATAGAATTTTGTACGGATCACGTATAATAATAATAATAATAATAATATTAATAATAATAGTAATAAAATAATTCATAATCTCACATCACCATGTGTTGCAAGTATAAAACTTACGTAGATTATTCATTCTTATATTATTACAATAGAAAATGAATTAAGTCACTTATATCGTAATCAGCCCTTTTGCATGGTTAATATATATATATATATATATCTGCAGATCTGCTACTGAGAGGACATTTTAAAACAAATAATGGCAATTAATCGATAATAGAGATAGCAACATATCTACAACAACGTGCGACTTGTGTACCTGCAACTAAAAGCTCTGCAAGCGATAATTGTTATATTACTAACAATATCTTTACAAGATTAAGGGTTATTATTACTTTTTACAAAATGTAGCTCGTGTTGCAGATTGCAAAATCGTACATTTATACGATTCCTGTATAGCCGGCACTGTGATTAAAGAATTACCTGTTTATTCATAATGATTCAATCTGTGATACGCACTAAGAATTAGGTTTATTTTTACTTAGGTGTATCTTATTGCCTAGGATGATCCATAAATCATGCATCGGAGGGATATAAGAAATCAATTACTACAAACGCAATGTGAAAATACTCTTTTAATTTATTGAACTAAATATCTAAGCTTAACAGGCTATCAACTTAAATTTTTTAATTTTTATTACAAACTAATTCATTTATATACTCTCTATTAAGTTTTCAGCCTTTTAATTTCATAAAAGAGCAAAAAGTAAAAATATCATGATACGTGATTTTATTCTGTAGCTCTATAATTATTGACGTAAGAAAAAAATATATAATATAGAAAGAAATCTTTGTGCTACAGTCTTCAGTTTTTATCTTTCGTTGAGAAAATTAAAAATTAAAATAAATCGCAAGAAAGCGTAGAATTGTTCAATGGATTGATTGCAAGAATCAAAAGAAAAATAAATAACAATTCAATAAAAAACGAATAAAATTATTTTTGAAGCATTCTGCATTATATTGAGCAAGGAAAGCCTACAAATATCACAAAAGCAATTAAGATATTTAATGCAACATGCAATATTTATGCTTTGTAGTTAATTTGATGAATTTTCGAAGAAACAATATACATATAGCGTGAAAAGATTTTCTACTAATTTAATATTCGATAGAGAAAGTAGATTGTTCTTTGACTTTTGTATTATGTACTACATAAAAATATGTATATCACAATATATCAACAATGATTAAAATAGATAACGCAATACGCGATTTTCAGTCGTTCACCCTGTAATGGTTGCAAATTTCCCAACAATCGAAAAATTGGGAGAGATTCAATGCAAAAATAATATTAGATTTCAACGAAAAGATAAATAAATTGTTCTTGCTACGACAGGTGAGAGAAGAGAGAATAAAACAAAATATATATAATAATAATCAAAATAATTAACGCGGTGCGCGACTTACGGTTCATCCTGCAGCTCGGCGATTATCATAAAGAGCAAAAAGCCAAGAAGGCATTAGGTTTTTATTACACGAAGAAGATTAATTGCTGGCTAATGCCGCCATCGCGCGAATCAACGTAGCGTTCTCTTCGCGAAGCCGTTCCCGTTCCACAGCCATTTCATGTTGTTGCTTCAAAAGGCGAGCCTCGAGCGCCATAATTTTATGGTCCCGGTCCTCCAAAAGGGACAGCAGCCTCCTGTTTTCCTCTTGCGCTCGTTCGATTAACTGTAAATCGCATAATATTTGATTCTCAAATGTGTTATTCGACTAATTAGTACATTGGAAAAGTGAAATTTGTACATTTTTTAAATTAAAAATTAAATTTTAAATATATATAATTTGACGTAATGTCTAATTATTTCTTAACGACTTACTTCGTGCGGATTGTCGCCGGTTGGTGTTGGCAATCTCGGTCTACTGGTCGCATTGACAGACGTCTGCGGTTCGTGATTGCCATGGTCCGATTGATTAATGCTATCGGATTGATTGAGAGAATCAAATTCCTCGTCGTCGGCCTCCAAATCCGAGTGACTAAAACGCAGATGTCAGTAATCGAATGTGAATTATGTTCGACTTATCGCATGGATTAATATTTTACAAAATGTCGCTTATAAACTGCGTTAGGCACGACCATCGATGCTGATACAAAGAATATTGCACGTTATTAATATATATTTTAATTTTGTGTTAATTTTAGTATTGTAAATAATTAATTTTAGTAAAAAATATAATCAATCGCGAATAAGATGAAAGTCATGCGACTGAACATATAATATTGTCCGAAGCCCTTCAATTATTTTTTTATAGTTGCTGTCATTAGATATGTATATGATTATTTTTTATTCTGAGAGAATATCTAATTATTTTAAAATATCTATTTAGGGCTCAATTATTTATATATATATATATATATATATATATATATATATATATATGTATATATATATATTTGTGCATATTATATCTTTTGTATCGCAACAAGTCTTTCATGTTTGTATTCCTTCTACTTTTGTGAGATTAATTGCTCTATTATCTCTCATGTTATTTATCGTCTGCATTTGGAATATTATCAGTTATGTGCATGATCTTGGATAATCTTGGATGATGTGATGGACTAGGTAATTTGTTAATCAAAATTCTATTAGCTCTATCGTACTTCGTACAGGTCGTGCCTAATCGTAGTTCTTCTGGTACAATATAACGCACTTACCAACTGTGCCTAATTATACATGACCTGTATGAAGTACGGTAGTGCCTAGAAAGCAGTTATATTAAAAGGACAGTCAAAGTTACTGCATCATGACAGAAGGTGCTCATTTCCCAGTTATCATTAATTAATGTATGAATATTTGTGAGATACCTTTTATTTCGCCTTTGTGTGTATATTCTGGCAGTCCGGTCCTGTAACATACATATTTTTTAATAACTGTCCTAAAAAAAGTTGATCTATACTTTCTTTGTAATAGTAAGAAATATTTATTGCTACTATTTTAATATTTCTTTTTGTCTTTGCTGTATTATATTATTATCAGTTTTAAAGAAAAGAATCAGTAACTATTAACATTTCAAACATTTGAGAATAATGCTTTTGAAAGTTTGGATGTGATTGAAAATTATATAAGTTTATTTGCAAGTATATCTTAAAATAATATTAAAGATCGCAATTAATTTTTTCGACTTTTTTCCTAACAGTGCATAAAACAAATTATTTTTTGTTTTAAATTTATTGAATACACTTACTTCTATCAAATCATGATCAAGGAATTCATTATGATGCGTGTTATGCTTAGTTTCAAGGCAAGTGCCAGTAAGTTCTTCCTCATCTTCTCCTGTACTACCACCGGTACTCTGAGAAATTATACTAATTATCGAAGATACTTTCATAATATATAACATTGAAAAATATAGAATGAACTGTATTTCATTTAACTGATAGTAATAGTAATAAGCTTAATAACTAATATTTTATAATAAAAACGTGATAGAGAAAACCATCAATTCTCAATATTACAATTCTTAACATTTATTTTTTTAATTACCTCGACAATAAAAATTTACAAATCAAAATTCTGTTTTTGTTGAAATTAACTTAAGAAATAAAATTTTATATTTCTATATTCATGAACATAATTAATTACAGATATTTTAAAACTTGCCGTAATTTACAAATTATTTTGATAAGATAATTTTAATAAAGACAGCTCGATAATTCTATTAAGCAAGGAATCAATTGCAAATTAATAATCAAAAAAACTCTTATAATAAATAAATAAAAAAATTATAATAGTTTAATCTTATTGCGCATTGATTAAAATAATTGTACAAAGAAAGATGATAATTTGGGAATACTATGTAAATCTATGAATGCTATGTAAAAATACTATGTAAAAAAAAGATGTTAAAATTACAAGGTTTTAAAACTGAAGTAATAGGTCCAAGAATTTATTAAATTAGAATCAATCAAAAATCAAGATTTAAAATTTGATAAAAGAATAAATTTAAAATATTAAAATAATTAAAAAAGTAGATTGCAAGACTTCACTTGAGTCGAAAATACAAGCTTGTAAGATTTTAACAATATATAGAGATTCGATAATCTATAAATTCACAACATAACGATTTTAAAGATCGAAAAAATCAATTTTTAAATTTTTTACAAAATTACATTATTATTATGCCGTGCAATCTAATCATGTTTTACATTACTTATGGGTTAATTGACAATAGCAAACCTCTGTCGACGGTAAATGCACGACTCCTGTGCTACGCCGTTTTTCTCGTAGTTTCCGTCGATCGCGTTGCTGCTTCCCCTTGTTTATATGCGTTGGCCTGTGCAAACAGGATACGACACTAAAGACACTAGAACCAGATCCAGAAAGTATATTAGGCAGTTACGTGAAGTTCCATCTAGGATGTTGCTAATGGACACTCCAAGTGTGACAATAAGTTTCTACAGTCTTCCGTCAATTTCAAGGCGCGATTTACGTACCGGCCGCTTACGCGTTTATCCTGCTTCCTTATTATAGGTTTGCTCTGCAAATTATCATGTTCGGATAGAAGCATAGGGTTGGAACTTGTATCGTAAGCACCTTGCGATTCTTCCATATCAGGCGTACTCTCTGAAAAAAGAAGCAAGGAAACCATTAGAAGCAATAATAAGATCATTAATATTTAACTTCTTGTCCTTCTCCTTCAAATCAAATGATATCATTAAAGACTTTAATCTGCATTACAAATACATATAGAATATTCTAGAAAAGTCATTAGCATTAAATAGCTCCTATAATTTAATTATTTATTTTTACTGTGCTATTTCCACGAGACAAAATTAAAATTTAATCATTTAATGCCATTAAAATGCATTAATGTTAGATATTTCGTTTTAATATTAAAAAAGAAAAAAAATTTAATCGCTTGTTTGTAAACACCCTTGGTAAAGACCAACACATACTTTGAAAACTTATGGAAGACACATCTGTTCTAGGCGGACCCACTCTAGCTCTAGCAGTCCTGATCCTGGACCGCCTGGATGTCAACTCGAAATCATTGTCAAAATCTTCCTGACTGACGGAGCTGGACGCCATGCCGGCGATATCGCTGCAATGCAAGAATCCACTTGTAACACCACACTCGCGGGACTTATAGAAGCAATCGCTAATAAGAGTGTGCGTGTGCTGTGCAAAGAGAAAAAAATGGGTCCTTACAAAAAATACCTGGACATCTGAACAAAGAGTAGGTAGGTTGTGACGTGCGATACCTATGGGGATGATGATCGTCCCGTGCGGCTTAGTGCCCGTGGAGCTTAGTTAGCTCGTTTTAGGCTACTGTTCAGGACTCGTCTGAGAAAAAGGGAGAGGAAGAGAAGTCGAGAAGAGAGCTTTGTTGAAAAAACGAGCTCGCGGACGAAACGAGAAAAAAAGAGAAAAAAAAAGAAAAAGACGCAACGTGCGCAGGTAGGAATGTAAATCGAGAAATCAGACGATCGAGGAATCACCTGAAGAGGCCTTCGGCTGTTGATACGGTGACTCACTGGCGACCCGAATGAGGGATTGACAGCTGTCAATCGACGTGAATGATGACCATAAACATAGACGGCCAAAACGAGCACATACTTGGACCAAGCTAAATCGGCGTATCGATCCGATGGAAGGCAGGCGACTCGAGAAAGGCTTCTGCAACTTTATCCTCAGGAATGCGACACTCTGATTAATTGGAAAGCTTAGAATCCGCTATGAAACCTGCTAGTGATTGCCAGTAACTGCTAGTTTTCTTCGTAGCTGCCTGTTGTTCACTGCGCTAACCACCCCCACCTTCGCGTAAGTACGATGCGTAGTATGTCAGATGACAGATAGCACGGAGAAGCTGGACTGCGTTCAGAAAACGCAACGATTTTGTAACCGTTGAGCGAGCGCAAAGTGATCGATGAATGGTTGCGTTCGGAAAACACAGTAGCTGCGTTCTATCTGATGACGTCATGTTATATGAATGAAAGTATACGTATACGAATGACATTTCTTTAATACTAGCAATTTATATCAGAATATCATTCCGCTTTTGACTTTATGACAATACATGATTGAGTAAAAGAAGGGAAGCTTTTCCAGAGAATTATTTTGATGATATATTAATTTGATTTAACCTTAATAATCCATGATTAGATGCTCGCTATTATATTCGTATAATATTTCAATAATTGGGTTTCTAAATTAATCAAAAAATTTTTTTATTAATAGAATACACGTCGTATAAATCATATTATTCGAATTTAATAGATTCAAACTTTTCATATCATTTTTTATGTATTTTTTATAAACGTTATACAATGCTAAATTATTTTATTTAAAAATTTAAAATATTCAAAATGTCTAATTTTTATAAAGTACTTAAATATAAGAGAATGATTATTTTATGAAAATGTGCAAAATATCAACAAACAAATGTGCAATTAATATTTTACATATGCAATAATGTAATATTGTGGAATAAATTATGTTGTTCGTATATTTATTGAAGTATATAATGTGTCAAATCGTCTATGAAAATTGTTTATATCTTGATGTAATGAAAAGTTAACATATGTAGTATAATAATATTACTTACAATTAGTAGAACTATACTTTTCTGTATAATTATTTAATATTAGATACAAAATTTTATTATTAAAAAAAAGGATCGTTTTCAAATTAAAAACGAAAAAAAGAAAATTGGTTATTTTTATATTGGACAAATAGGAAAAATATATAATTTTATTAAAAATAATTTTATTGACATACAAAATTTTTACATAAGTATTAATAATAGGATTATTAATAGAGTTAATCTTTTATTTTATGTTTCTATTCTACATTTCATTCTTTTCTTTCTTTTTATTTAGAATTCAAATATTTAACGGTTTATGTATATATTCCATCACAATTTATTTATAATACTTTCTAAATTATGTTTTAGAAAATATTTATATAGAAGTTTATATATATCTCTGTTACAACATCATGGAACAACATAATTTATTAATATTAAAAGTTAATAAAAAATTTATTTATTTTTTAAATATTTCTACAATACTGATAAAAGAAAAGAAAGTAAACAAGTTTTTAATTATCATAATTTTGATTAATCCAATTTTTTATAGAAGTATAGATAGTTTTCTATATAATTATATAAAGAACGAAACTTGTGTATACAATATATATATATATATATATATATATATATATATATATATATATATCACTTAATATTATTTAATTTTTATTGCAATACATACTCTTTTATAATAAGATTTTAATTTTAACGATAGATTTTTTGATAAAATATGAATTGATTTTTTTATAAAAAAATATTGAATGTTTTACTTTTAAGATGATCAAAAAATATTGTTATAACATGAATATCAGATCATAAATTAATTTTAATTTTAAAATCTAATTACAAAGATTATAATAATGCAAAGTGAAGTTTAAAGTTCTACTTAAAAATCGATTCCAGATAAGGTAAAAAATTTATCGTTAATATTAGAGAAGCCAATGTAAGTAACTTATATACTATCACTGTTTGAACTTCCAAAATAGAATAATATTATATATTATTCTTGCTCAAACATTTTTCTTTTAAGTGATTAGGTTTATTACATAGGACGCATATTTGACCTTGGGCTGGACACATGGATACAGCATGGTCTTTACCACATCTAACACAATTTTTCACAACAGGTACTTGGCACAACCATGAGAAATGGTTTGGTTTACCACAATTCGTACATATTTCGCCAAAAGCGAGACAACGTGACTGAATATGATGTGTTCCACATTTGGTACAGTTAGACACATATTTTACCTTACAATAATCTGTAAAATGATTATATCCCTTACAGTTGTTACATCGCACCCCATGTGCTGGACAATCGTTTCTGCTATGGCAAGTACCGCAACGAATACATTTCATTTCAGCTGATTGTGGATTAAGAGAGAACTCTTGTGAATCCTGATTAGGGACATTTTCACAGTTCTTTTTTAACATCAATGTTTCGCATTGTTTCCAAAACAAAGTAATTGTATGAAGATCCGATAATTGCAAATACGATATCAAGTTCTCTCCTTTAGACTGTATATAAAGCATAGCCTTTCCTGTGAAATTGTAATTTTTAATATCGTGTATAATTTTTTCCTTTACAATATTCACAGGATCACCATGATTGCTTGCAATCGCAACAAGCTATAAGAGAGAAACATACATAAATTCAAACCAATGTGAAATATAACTATATCTATTTCAGAGCACTAATAATTTATAAAAATTATAAAATTTTTATGTTATATTTCAGAAATATTTAAATAGAGAACAAAATATTATCACTTAGTTCAATAATTTGCCTAACATTTTTATAATATTACAATTTATTACAAATTAAGTATATCATACAAAAGGAACATTAATATTTGTGAATAAAACTAGCTTTGAAGCTAGTTGGATTATACTTTAATAATATGCATATCATATAAAAAGAAATTTGATTTATATAGAGAAATCAATTTATAATAAATATAAACATCAATTTACCATTAAGTTATCAATATAGTTTTCAATGTTTTCATCTTCCTTTTTTTTTTTAGAGCCAAAAATAAAATATAAATCAAAATAGGATAGTAATGTTTTTAAATCTTGCACCTGAGAAGCATTGCAAGAAGGAAAATCTTTATATGCTTGTTCTCCAAGCGGACCAATCACCATTAATAAGATGACTGACCATTGAGTTTTATATATTTCATTAGCATCTTCTTTCTGGAGAAAAGATAAAAAAGCTTGCTTCCAAGCGCACCAACTTCTACTAATATTTTTTTGTGTGTCACTCAATGGTGGAAAGTTTGACATTTTGTTAAATATTTCTGATAAAATAATATAAAATATAGAATATATAATATAGTGTAATAATATATATAACAGTAATAATAAAAATATACAATATATGTATATATATATACACACATAATATATTGATATACATATAAAAGAAGCAAAAAATTGTCACTTACCCATATTTTCAAAGATATTTTATTTTTTTATTGCTGTGTATCTCATAAATATCTTAATATTCAAGTTTATAATAAACCGGCATTAAAGTAATTATATGTCATATATAATTGTTTTTTTCCGAACTAATCGATAAAATGACCTATACTTGAAAGTAATAGTTTCTTTGCTCTCTATGTCGAACTGGCTTTATTGATACATTCTCTGCTTATCGAAGACTGAAGACTGAAGACTGATAGTAATGAAACAAAAGAACACTATATATGCTGTAGAGCTTGATAACTGAACTATATACTTGAAACAGCGTTGCCACATTGATGCTGACATCATATTTGATTGACTGACATCATATTTGATTGAAAAAAAAATCCGAAAAAGCTTCATGTAATACTTTGTATCATCTATATGAATATATTAATTTTTTTATTACTTCTCCAAGATAAGATTTTTAGACACTAAACTTCAGAGAAATAAATAAAAAAAAAACAAAGTCATATTCTTCAGTTAAAAATGAATTGTAAATAAACTTTAAATTCAAAATTGTAAACACAATATTAAAAACTATCGAAAAATTCAGTATTTTTTCAATGGAAAATCTTTTTTTTTTTGATAGTTCCATTGGGGAAAAAAACGTGAACTCATCGAAAAATCTGTAGTGAAAAGAATATTTTATAATATATATATATATATATATATATATATATATATATATATATATATATTATGTATAATATAATAATAATACATACATATATATTTTTATTAAATTATACAGTATTTAATTCTCAAATATTAAAGCCTAGAAAAAGAGAAGAAAATATTTATTTTTGTCAAAATAATGTATTTATTTTAATTATGTATTTATTAACTCTTTATATTCTTTAAAAGATTACAGAAGAAATGAATGTCATCCTATTCATTTACTATCATCAGAAAAATAAAAGTATGATAATATATAGAGTAATATTTAACAACGTATGCTATTTTATAAAATTTTTATATCAAACTTTTTGGTTTACCAATATTACAATGGAAAAAGCACAGTGTATTCTGTGATATTCTTAAATTGTTGTATAAATATATATTCAATTTTTTTTGTAGCATTTGATTGGTACATGTCCTCTTCTGTTGCATCTAGTGCATACAGTATTTACTGCAGGGCATGCAGATTTAGAGGCGATATGTGTTAAACCACAGTAATTACAATTTAAAACTTTTGGAATTGAACATTTCCATGAGAAGTGATTTGTTCTATTACATCTATTACATTCATTCATATAAGCAGGACATTCTCGGACAAAATGACCTTCACCACAATATAAGCAATTAACAATAAATTGAGATGGACATCTTGTCCAATAGTGATTTTCATTACCGCATTTATTACATCGTTTTCCACGAGCACGACAATTATTTATTTCATGTGTTCTTCCACAATTATGGCAGTTTTTAATTAAAAATTCTTGGATTTCTTCAGTTCGCTTGAAGTTTGCATTCTCATATGACATCCAAATATATGTCATCTCTTTTACAGTTAATGATTGTATGCTTGATCGAAATGAGAATCCCAAAATTAAACTTTCTGCTTTTCTAATAAATCTACTTTTATCTATTTCCATCAGAATTTTCTCTTTCACTACTTTATCTGTATTAGTCATATGTTTCGATGCCATTACCTAAGAAAAAAAACCTATTAATAAGTTTTTACAGTAAATACGTTAATTATGTTTCATGGAAAATATAAAACGAAAATATGATAAATTGTACTTAACACTTTAATATTTTAATCATTTTATATTAATGTCAAAAATAAAGAAAAAGAGAATATACTTCCAATCACTTAGAATGATTTTAAGAACTAGAACAAGTTATAATTCTCCTTGTAAAAACTGATAAAAAAATAGCACTTGAAAAAATAAGAATAGAATTTTATATAGTTTAGTGAATTTCACCTCTAGAATTACATATGATTCAAAAATGACTTAACTACGATAAAACAATTTTAACAGAGAAATAAATGAGAAACAGATTTGTAAAAATAATATTCACACTAACATACCATTAAGTCATTGACATATTTATCAATATCTTCATCAACTCCTCTTTTTCTACCTCCAAATATACAATAGAAATCAAATTTTTTTAACAATGTATCTATATCTTGTTCAGTATAATCCTTATCAAATGTGAAACTTCTAGAAATTTCTTGGCCAACAGGACCCATACGATTTAAAAGCATCATACCCCATGTTTGTTTATTTGTCTCTGTTTGATCAATTGATTTCATGTATGTGAGAAATTCATTTTTCCATGAAAACCATTCTGTCATAAAGTCATTTTTTGTAGACATTGTAGGTGGTGCAGTTGCAATTGCAGACTTATTTTTCAAGTAAATTATTTGATTTTTATTATCATGTTCTTCTTTAATGATGTAAGTCTTTGTCATAAATTTGGGTTGAATATTAACTGTGTCATTATATATTAAGTTATGAGATTTATCAAATTCATGAAATAAATCTTGTGTTTTTTTTTCGTTGACAGTTTTGTATATTCCATAATTATATGGATTATTGATCTTTGAGGTATTTGCCTGTGGTTCATGATACAAAGGAGAGTGAAAGGAATTTTCTTTTGCTTTGGAATTAGGAAATTCTGTTGGCCTCGAGTTTGTACTTGAATTATTGTGTTCACTTTTACTTTTAGAATTACCTGTAATATAATTTTAATTATAGTTGTTTAAAACTTGTTTTTAAAAATATATTATTTGCAAAAATATAAATACAGTAATGAAAAATACCCATTTCTTTGTAATAACTGCACACTGCTTTATACCAAAAAAATGTTTCTAGTAATTCACAACGTAATTCACATATATTTCAAAAATAAAATATATATTGAGTGAAATAAATTTTAATGGAGCCTGTGGATATATAATATTATTTAGTTTTATAAAATCATATTTAAGAAAAAGATAGAAAGAGAAACAAAAAAATAAATTTTTAAGAAAGCATCTTTTTTCTGAATTTTTTCAAAATTCTGTGAAATATGTATGTCACATGTACTATTTGAAATAATAAGAGAAATTTTAATACATAGTTTATTACATTGATTCCATAGAATAGTGAAATATCTTATTTTATTATCTTATTTCTCGGCAACACAGACAGAAAAAAAGTACAAGGTTCAAAATTCTGTAATCGTCACTCGTATCAAAACGAGAGTTACAGGAATTTTATATCAAATATGTTCGTTTTTAACAAGAGCTTATATGTATCTTACTTACTACGTTTTTTTTTTAAGTATCTATACACACAATTTCAGCACAATACCCTCGCCAACAATTTATGATATAACAATAGTTATTTACGAGCCCGTTACTATCTTTACTGTGGTCTTTTCTTTACGACTCTCACTCTACTTCTACACACTTCTCGTCTCTCACTATATATAATACTTGATATAGAGTTACCTCCTTTGTCTTCGATATAAACTCATAAAACTAGTGAATCCCCGTTAGGCTGGTGACACACGATCCACACTACGTCGTATCAGAGAGAAACCTGAGAGCGGCCACCTCGCTTTAACTATGGCTTTAACGGGTATATTGTCCTAATGCGCTCCCTGACAAAGTGGACGTCAACTAAATCCATTACAATCGATAATAATACATGGTTCGTGTCTGAGCTATGGTTCATGTCCAAACTATGGAGAGACCCCAAAAGTGATACTCCCTCTATGGACATTCAAAACATGAACATGAACTACAAAGTCAATGTCCATGAATGTTCTCAGAGGGTAATATATAATTGCACAATTTCTGGTTTTGTTCCGTGCTATGTGCACGAAATGCCGGTAGCACCAGTGCTATATAACAATTAAATATTTATGTGTGTAAATTGATAATAAATAAATTATTCAATCGCGACAGATATTGTAATATTCAAAAATGAAATAAATATTTTTCAAAATAAATTGGTAAATAATACGGCTCTATATATTTATCAACATGATAATTAAGTAAAGAGCATTAAGAGCCCACAAAACGCGGATGGCAATGCGTAAATTATTTCGAACATTAATTGTTCGCGAAATTTTTTTTTTTTTTTTTTTTTTTAAATGCGTTATTAGGAGAACATGATTTGTAAAGAGGTCATCAACGCACCATCGACCTCTTCGCACAATATATTCTCCTGATCATATAAATTATGAGAAACGAATTTTCGAAAATTTTCGCGCTTGCGTTATTAGGAGAACATGATTTGTAAAGAGGTCATCAACGCATCATCGACCTCCTCGCACAATATATTCTCCTGATAATATAAATTATAAGAAACGAATTTTCGAAAATTTTCACGCTTGCGTTATTAGGAGAACATGATTTGTAAAGAGGTCATCAACGCATCATCGACCTCCTCGCAAAATATATTCTCCTGATAATATAAAATAATAAGAAACGAATTTTCCAAAATTTTCACGCTTGCGTTATTAGGAGAACATGATTTGTAAAGAGGTCATCAACGCATCATCGACCTCCTCGCAAAATATATTCTCCTGATAATATAAAATAATAAGAAACGAATTTTTGAAAATTTTCACGCTTGCGTTATTAGGAGAACATGATTTGTAAAGAGGTCATCAACGCATCATCGACCGCTTCGCACAATATATTCTTCTGATCATATAAATTAGAAGAAACGAATTTTCGAAAATTTTCGCGCTTGCGTTATTAGGAGAACATGATTTGTAAAGAGGTCATCAACGCATCATCGACCTCCTCGCAAAATATATTCTCCTGATAATATAAATTATAAGAAACGAATTTTCGAAAATTTTCGCGTTTGCGTTATTAGGAGAACATGATTTGTAAAGAGGTCATCAACGCATCATCGACCTCCTCGCACAATATATTCTCCTGATAATATAAATTATAAGAAACGAATTTTCGAAAATTTTCACGCTTGCGTTATTAGGAGAACATGATTTGTAAAGAGGTCATCAACGCATCATCGACCTCCGCGCAAAATATATTCTCCTGATAATATAAATTATAAGAAACGAATTTTCGAAAATTTTCACGCTTGCGTTATTAGGAGAACATGATTTGTAAAGAGGTCATCAACGCATCATCGACCTCCGCGCAAAATATATTCTCCTGATAATATAAATAATAAGAAACGAATTTTCGAAAATTTTCACGCTTGCGTTATTAGGAGAACATGATTTGTAAAGAGGTCATCAACGCATCATCGACCTCCTCGCAAAATATATTCTCCTGATAATATAAGATAATAAGAAACGAATTTTCTAAAATTTTCGCCCTTGCGTTATTAGGAGAACATGATTTGTAAAGAGGTCATCAACGCATCATCGACCTCCTCGCAAAATATATTCTCCTGATAATATAAGATAATAAGAAACGAATTTTCTAAAATTTTCGCCCTTGCGTTATTAGGAGAACATGATTTGTAAAGAGGTCATCAACGCATCATCGACCTCCTCGCAAAATATATTCTCCTGATAATATAAATTATAAGAAACGAATTTTCGAAAATTTTCGCGTTTGCGTTATTAGGAGAACATGATTTGTAAAGAGATCATCAACGCATCATCGACCTCCTCGCACAATATATTCTCCTGATAATATAAATTATAAGAAACGAATTTTCGAAAATTTTCGCGTTTGCGTTATTAGGAGAACATGATTTGTAAAGAGATCATCAACGCATCATCGACCTCCTCGCACAATATATTCTCCTGATAATATAAATTATAAGAAACAAATTTTCGAAAATTTTCGCGCTTGCGTTATTAGAAGAACATGATTTGTAAAGAGATCATCAACGCATCATCGACCTCCTCGCACAATATATTCTCCTGATAATATAAAATAATAAGAAACGAATTTTCGAAAATTTTCGCGTTTGCGTTATTAGGAGAACATGATTTGTAAAGAGGTGATCAACGCATCATCGACCTCCTCGCACAATATATTCTCCTGATAATATAAATTATAAGAAACGAATTTTCGAAAATTTTCGCGCTTGCGTTATTAGGAGAACATGATTTGTAAAGAGGTGATCAACGCATCATCGACCTCCTCGCACAATATATTCTCCTGATAATATAAATTATAAGAAACGAATTTTCGAAAATTTTCGCGCTTGCGTTATTAGGAGAACATGATTTGTAAAGAGGTGATCAACGCATCATCGACCTCCTCGCACAATATATTCTCCTGATAATATAAATTATAAGAAACGAATTTTCGAAAATTTTCACGTTTGCGTTATTAGGAGAACATGATTTGTAAAGAGATCATCAACGCATCATCGACCTCCTCGCACAATATATTCTCCTGATAATATAAATTATAAGAAACGAATTTTCGAAAATTTTCGCGTTTGCGTTATTAGGAGAACATGATTTGTAAAGAGATCATCAACGCATCATCGACCTCCTCGCACAATATATTCTCCTGATAATATAAATTATAAGAAACAAATTTTCGAAAATTTTCGCGCTTGCGTTATTAGAAGAACATGATTTGTAAAAAGGTGATCAACGCATCATCGACCTCCTCGCAAAATATATTCTTCTGATAATATAAAATAATAAGAAACGAATTTTCGAAAATTTTCACGTTTGCGTTATTAGGAGAACATGATTTGTAAAGAGGTGATCAACGCATCATCGACCTCCTCGCAAAATATATTCTCCTGATAATATAAATTATAAGAAACGAATTTTCGAAAATTTTCGCGTTTGCGTTATTAGGAGAACATGATTTGTAAAGAGGTGATCAACGCATCATCGACCTCCTCGCACAATATATTCTCCTGATAATATAAATTATAAGAAACGAATTTTCGAAAATTTTCGCGCTTGCGTTATTTGGAGAACATGATTTGTAAAGAGGTCATCAACGCATCATCGACCTCCTCGCACAATATATTCTCCTGATAATATAAATTATAAGAAACGAATTTTCGAAAATTTTCACGCTTGCGTTATTAGGAGAACATGATTTGTAAAGAGGTCATCAACGCATCATCGACCTCCTCGCAAAATATATTCTCCTGATAATACAAAATAATAAGAAACGAATTTTCGAAAATTTTCACGCTTGCGTTATTAGGAGAACATGATTTGTAAAGAGGTCATCAATGCATCATCGACCTCTTCGCAAAATATATTCTCCTGATCATATAAATTATAAGAAACGAATTTTCGAAAATTTTCACATTTGCGTTATTAGGAGAACATGATTTGTAAAGAGGTCATCAACGCATCATCGACCTCCTCGCAAAATATATTCTCCTGATCATATAAATTATAAATTATAAATTATAAATTATAAGAAACGAATTTTCGAAAATTTTCGCGCTTGCGTTATTAGGAGAACATGATTTGTAAAGAGGTCATCAACGCATCATCGACCTTCTCGCACAATATATTCGTTTCTTATTATTTTATATTATCAGGAGAATATATTTTGCGAGGAGGTCGATGATGCGTTGATGGACCTCTTTACAAATCATGTTCTCCTAATAACGCAAGCGTGAAAATTTTCGAAAATTCGTTTCTTATAATTTATATTATCAGGAGAATATATTGTGCGAGGAGGTCGATGATGCGTTGATGACCTCTTTACAAATCATGTTCTCCTAATAACGCAAGCGCGAAAATTTTCGAAAATTCGTTTCTTATAATTTATATGATCAGGAGAATATATTGTGCGAAGAGGTCGATGATGCGTTGATGACCTCTTTACAAATCATGTTCTCCTAATAACGCAAGCGTGAAAATTTTCGAAAATTCGTTTCTTATTATTTTATATTATCAGGAGAATATATTTTGCGAGGAGGTCGAACATGCGTTGATGACCTCTTTACAAATCATGTTCTCCTAATAACGCAAGCGCGAAAATTTTCGAAAATTCGTTTCTTATAATTTATATGATCAGGAGAATATATTGTGCGAAGAGGTCGATGATGCGTTGATGACCTCTTTACAAATCATGTTCTCCTAATAACGCAAGCGTGAAAATTTTCGAAAATTCGTTTCTTATTATTTGATATTATCAGGAGAATATATTTTGCGAGGAGGTCGATGATGCGTTGATGACCTCTTTACAAATCATGTTCTCCTAATAACGCAAGCGTGAAAATTTTCGAAAATTCGTTTCTTATTATTTTATATTATCAGGAGAATATATTTTGCGAGGAGGTCGAAGATGCGTTGATGACCTCTTTACAAATCATGTTCTCCTAATAACGTAAGCGTGAAAATTTTCGAAAATTCGTTTCTTATTATTTTATATTATCAGGAGAATATATTTTGCGAGGAGGTCGAAGATGCGTTGATGACCTCTTTACAAATCATGTTCTCCTAATAACGCATTTAAAAAAAAAAAAAAAAAAAATTTCGCGAACAATTAATGTTCGAAATAATTTACGCATTGTCATCCGCGTTTTGTGGGCTCTTAATGCTCTTTACTTAATTATCATGTTATATATAGAGATAAATATATAGAGCCGTATTATTTACCAATTTATTTTGAAAAATATTTATTTCATCTTTGAATATTACAGTATCTGTCGCGATT